CCGTACCCTGCGTGGCTGGCTCACTGGTGCCAACTAGTGGTCAGAGGCTGAACTACAACATAAAAATGAATGGCTGGCAGGAAAGTTGACATTTTAAACCTTAATAAAAAATCGATACAGGGCTTTAGAATATCGATACAGTATCGGGAAATGAAATATCGCGATATTTAAGTGTACCGATATTTTGTTACACCCCTATTGTGTGCAGGAGAAAACTGTACAAACATACTGATAAAAGCATAAACACAAAAATTGTCTCTTTTGTTTGTTTCTGTTTTGTTTGCATGCCAACCTAATTTAGAAAAATTTTCAACGAAACTAATTTAGTTGTCTTTTAGGAACAAAGGTTTYATTTATGACTACCAATGATGATTGTTTTTAAATGAAGCTCTAGTTTGTTCACTGTTGTTTCTTGACTTTTTAAATTACAGACTACAACTATAACAGCCCCACATGAATACAATGTTTGTCTGAAACAAGGACTTTGCGGACAGCCACGTCCTTCATCAGCAGACACAATCAGCTTTGCCAAGTACTGTTCATCCCCTCCTTCCTCGCTGCACACTCAATCACTTGTGTAAGGGTCCCTAAAGACTAGATGCAGAGCGTGCTTGGTGCTCCGTTGCTGATTGCACTGCTGGCATCAGCAGCCTCTTCACGCCTTCCAACAAGTGAAAACTCGAGAGCCCATCCACGGCAGCTGCGGGTCAATTATTTTTACTTTCCACTTGTTGCGTTCACAAGAATGCATGTAGTGTTTTTAAGAAAACAAGGGAGAAAAGGATCAACAGCTGCAAAATGCATCTTTCTAGGCATGTTTGTTCTCAGTCACAACTCTTACTTTGCCCTCATTTTGATTTTGTCCATTCCGTCAATCTGCCTCTGTTTCTATCCCCTTTTTTGCTTATTCTCATTGCAAACATATTCGCAAACCTTTTTCTCAGATATACACATATACGCCCATGTAAATACACAGTAAGCTCTCTCTGAACAAATCTCCTCAGTGAATTAATTGAGATGCACAGCTGAAAAGAATAAATAAAAAAAAAAGCTCAACAGTGAATGGGCCACCACAATACAGCCTGTGGAGCCTAGGAGAAGAGAGACGGGCCTCTCTGGAATCTACGGAGCAAATATTTCATGTTTTAAAGAGGGGAAAAAAAGATACCGACCTCTGAATCCCTTCGCACCCTGACATGCAAATGGACTTGGTCCACAGAAACACAGCACAAATGTCTAAAAGCTCACATGGTTTATTCAAATTGTGAGCAGGCAAGAGGTTTTACAGGAGTTTGTTTTTGTACCGTTACCAAAAATGAGCAAAGTTGAGCAATTAAAAAGTTTCTAAAGCTCAACGGTTAAGCAGAAACACTCTTTTGAAATGTATCTTCACAACTATTAGATTCTTTAGCATGACTGTTTGTAAAACAGTACAAACAGTAATATTCGTTTTTCAAATATCTGTCAATACAGAACGCAAACAGTACAAGTAATGCAGCACAAAGAGCTACTACGTATACAGTATATCCTTGAGAAGTTAAACTAAAGCATTGTGCGTAGGAAAGCACAACAGCAAAACAGTGCAGCAGACGTTACAAGGTGTGTGTTTGATGGTTTCAGTCTAATTTTATTTCTTCCCTGCTTTAAAGGGCTGTGCGAGGTTTTTATCCCCGCCGATCAACATATCAAAGAGGCTTGCATCAAWGATAAATCACACGAAGCGCAGTGTTTCATGCAATGTGATTGATTGATCATCAAAAGAATAAAATTAGGAGACAGATTTTCCTGCAGGTGGACATAAAAAGAAACCCAAAGGGATTATTTCTGCTTTAAAATCTGTGATAAAATATTTAACAGCCTTTTAATCCAGCGGAATAATTAGGTTGTGTATGACTGTTTTTGGTAAAATCCACATAAAAACACTATGTTTTAATTGTTTACCTCTTCTGCTTGTTTCTTTTTTTTTTCTTTTACTAGAAAAGTTCCATTTATTTTTGTGTGTTTTATGTATTTATTCTTTGTGGTGCATCTAATGATTTAGTTCAATAAACTGTGGATCGTGAAACATCTGATGTGAAAAACTGACCTAAAATTTGACCTACAGTATTTACATCACCTCAAACTTTGTGTGTGCATAATATAAGCAGTTGGTGATAAGTTTTATTTATTTATTTATTTAATGTTTGTTTGTTTGTTTGTTTACTTTCTATATAGATTCAAATTTGCTTTTTTCTGTTGTTTTACAAAGAAAGACCACATTCAAGTATGCTGTCAATAGCAAGGTTTTAAATATAATTCTTGTATATACACACAAATATATAACATAATAAAATCCATTAAATGCAACAGGTGCTAAGCCAAAAACAAGCTCAAAACAAGAAAATAAGGTATGTCTATGGTTATACTGTACCTGGTTCAGGTGTGTGTGTGTGTGTGTGTGTGTGTGTGTGTGCAGTAGTAATGCACAACACTACAGCAATATAATAAATTTAACACATAGCAGCTTCGTTTTCAGTTAGTTTAGTTTATGTGCATCACTATGCGTGGTGTTGAGACAGCTAATAATTAGCTAGTCTCCAACTTGTACATTTATACGTTATACATTACTTTCATGTTCATTAAGAATTAAGCATTAGCAAAGTTTGTTAAAACAATTTTAAGCAAAAGTAAATCATGACGTGCCTTTGCTAAGTAAGTGCTTAATTTATGAAACAGTCGGTAACATCCCTCCACAGCAGCAGGCCATTGTTTATATCACAACATTAACCCACAAAAAACAGCCGATATTTTAACCTAACGCGTTACATTTAGTCTTACTTGGGTGTGAACGGTTTCTTCATAGGGTTGTTGCGACTGCATTTGCCGACATTGCTGCCAAATCCATCCCCTCTGATACCCGGTGACTCGCCGCTGCAGTTGCTCTCTCTCCCGGCTCAGATCGTTGTCAAGAAAATCCTGTCTTGACGAGCAGGCAAATCAACCAATCAAAAGCAGCGCGAGGGTGTCGCTGTGCGACAAGCAGCCAATGAAAAGAAGGAATTAGGCCTGGTATAGTTGCGTRCCTTAGAGCCGTCCAACGTCGTGTGCAAGCGACGGGACATAGGAAGGTAATACAACCTGTGCTCCCCAGTCTCCAGAGGTTCACAGTGGGGTCAGGGGAGCAGGCGCATTGGGAACTGATTAATACTTTAAAACTAGCTGACACCAAGGGCTGTTGTTTTAATGCATACATAAAGATGCAGTTTCATTCCTCCTGACATGGGTTTAAAACACTTTCAGTAAACAGAGCAATTTTAGATTAGATATTACACGTTTAGATTGTTAGCCAAATTCCAAAAAATACAATAAAATAAAATGAAAAGAACCACTGAAAGCCTGGAGTCTTTTGGATGTAATTACATTTTGATGAATGAATTACACTTTTGTTCTGTAATAAAATAAACAAGTTTTCATTTATGCATTCACTAATTAGTTTCTTACTAATGACAAGGTATACTACTAAATTTTTGCTATAGATTTATTTATTGTTACAGACACACAAACTAATTTGTTCTGAAAACCTTTTTTTTTCTTATTTGTACCTCAAAGACAGTATGAAAATAATTTCCAAGCAAAATAATTTGCAAAGTGTGAAACAGCAGCAGCACAGAGCAGATTTAGAWAGAGCTCCTGCAACATTTTATTCCTCAACAGTAATGGCAACTGATTTCAGTTCACAGAACCAAATAAGCTATAAAAATYGACTGTAAAGCACAAAAAATGAACTCATTGCTGATAAAAACACCAAAGATGGATACGGTTTTTAAAATAATACAGCAATAGAAAGAAACGTTACACATGTGAAATCCTCAGAATTAAGTGACTAGACWTTCATTGTGACAGCTGCACATATTGAGATAATAATCTCCACATGCAGGGCTTCATCAGAAAAACAAAATGTCTACAGTGGGATAATTCACCTGCTCATTACTGGAAGAGTGTCCATCAGATGTTTTAAACAAATGCTTCTTCACATTCTCATACAACCACTGTTTGTTCGACGTCCTCCAGGTTTACAATGCCACTGTCCAGCTCTACTTCCACCTGAGAGTTCACCATGTGCTGCTCGTCAGCTTCCGTCGTGGTCACGTGCACCACCTGGATGTGCAGCCCAGCCTGTTTTAACCTCTCCATATCTTCCTCACACATCCCTTCGACWCCTTCTTCCCCCACCACGACAGTCGCGGCGTCCCCCATTCCCAACACACTCATAGGCTCCACTGTGACGTGTTCCACCTGCAGGCCRTCGTCCAACAGAACAGTTTCGGCTCCCTCTTCTATGCCCTGTGTGGCTATGGTGAGGGCGGCAGAGGCAGCAGAGTCCGTGATGACGAGTTGCTCGGCGGACTTGTCCTTGACGGAGTGGCCTTCTTTGAGGTGGATCTTCAGCTCTTTGGGGTGGGTGAACCACACGTCACATATGGTGCAGTGGTTGGGTTTGTCTCCAGTGTGGCACATGAGATGCTCTTTGAACTGCTCCCAGCTGTTGAAGATGCTGCTGCAGACCTAGTGGAGAAGATTGGATGGAAAAATGGCACRAGTAGATAGACGTAGACAAATCAACATCAGTTGGTGACTGCAAAACATCCAAGATTTATAAATGCAGTTTGAAACACAAWGAAATTTTATTGAACGGAGACATATCATGCTTTGAAATTCTTCCTTTTCACATTTAAATCATTTAGTTGGGGTCTATATATATAGTGGATATATATAGTGGAATTGCAATGCTTTGGCCTGAATTTCCTCTACGCAGCACCAGGAGAGACTAAATTCAAATCTTCTGCASAACAAAATGAATTCAATGGCTAAAAAAGTGAAATTTGCAYGACATGTCTCCTTTAAAACTTTATGCAAGTTGATCTATGCAGAATATTTTGCATCATTAACAAAAAATAAAATAAAAAACCACACAGACAACATTAGCCTGGCCCTTGCCTTCCTACGCAGTTCCGCTCAATTCTAGTTTCGCTTCTCTGCTCCGTCTAGGATTTCTCCCATTGACAAGGATTTCGCTGGCAGATTTTTAGCCAGGCCAATCAGAGAAGAGAACGTTGATTTTCTGCAGTGTCTGCTTGTAGTTTATTTTACCTGGGCCAATCAGAGAACAGAACCTCAATTTTCTGCGCAGTGTCTGCTTGTAGTTTATTTTACCTGGGCCAATCAGAGAACAGAAGGCGGAGTTTTGAATGACGTCGATGTTCTGCACAGTGTCTGCTAGTTATTTTAGCAAACGGCACTGGAGGAAGTGAATGAAGCCAGTCCGTGTTGATAAGGCTTCCAAATTAAATTTAATTTGTCTGACAAAACAGCAGCTCTCATTTACAGCTGTCTCGTTCACCTCGGTACTTTTCTCCTCTCAGTAGGCTTGTTTACAGCGCACGCAACGTCTGGTTAGCTTCTTAGCTTAGCCTCCTTCACAATGACACACACACACTTCAGCAGAGGCCACGCCTCCAGCAAGAATCGCTTTTCAATGGCCGCGAGTCCAGACTCTCATATGAAGCAAAGTGAAGGACAAGGGTCTGGTTTTTACAAGGCTAAGACAACATTAAAACAACAAATGAGAAACTGAAAGGAGCTCAAATTCCTCTTGTTCTTTATTCTTTAAGTCCATGTTGACTACTAGCTTCTAATAATAAAAAAAAATGACCAAACACTTCAACATTAATGAGAAAACATATAGTCTCACTATTGACACTGAACTGATAGCAAAAATGTATTGGTGTGAACAAACTGTACCTGGCATTCATAGAGCTTTTTGCGTCCTTTCTTGGCTCCGGCTCCATTCTGACATGCCACCAAATGGCATTTCAATGTGCTGTTCCTTGCAAATCGCTCATGACAGTCTGGACACTCATAAGGCTTTTCACCTAAAACAGACAAAAGCCCAAACTATGTTTAGATACAAATCACAGTTCGAATATAAACAGTAATAACAGAAATGTCAGCTTTATTATTGTTGTAATTCTCACCGGTGTGTTTCCGTAAATGCTCCTTAAAGTGCCCAAAGTGGTCAAAGTGCTTTTTACAGAATTGGCAGACGTGCACTTTCTTCTGAGACTTTTGGCTGTTTCGAGACAGTTCTTCTGTGTCATAATGAAACGTGCTGATGTGCTGCTTCAGGGCGCCCTCCCGTGTGTAGGATTTACCACAGTGGCTACACACATGAGGCTTCTCCATTGAGCCCAGGTGAGTTTTTAGGTGCTGTTTGAGGTGGTAGTATAATTTAAAATTGCGGTCGCATTTGTTGCAGCGAAATGTGTTGTCCACTTGAGAAATCTGGACCTCGACAAACTCAACATTCTCCAGGACCTTGGAGGCTGAAATGGTTTCCTCCTGATATAAAACATCCTGTGGAGCACAAAAACAAACAAAAGTGGAGTTGATACTTTCACTGTCAAAAATGACATCCACGTAGTTTAATGTATCCCTCTTGTTCCTTCCTGTTTTTTAATCACCTGCATTGTTGGTTCCTCTTGCTGGTATTTGCTAGTTATGTCAGCCAGAAGAGCCAAAGCGGAATCATCGGATGCTGTCTGAGCAGTCTTTGCTTCATCTACCACCTCTTCCAGCCCGGACTCCATCACCTCAATGGAGTTTTCACCCATCACATCAATCTCCACCTATATGGCAGTAAAATAATCCACTGTTGAACATCAAATATGGATAACGAAAAGGAAATTTATTCACATCATAAAATAAAAACAATTAAACACAGAAAAGGAAATGATTTGAGATGAATTTCACATTAATGTCACAATGATGATTGCACTAACCGGCTCCCCCTCTACCGTTGGCAGGGTTTCTGTAATGACGTTAGACGTCTCAGCAATCTTCCTCTTTTGCCCTTTGCTCCTCAACGGCGGAGAAGAATTTTCATTTTTTCTACAAGAAATTAGCTATTACTTATCAATTAATGAGGTAATGTCTGAGTCCTTAGACTGGTGCATCTCACATTTTAAAAGGGATCCACGATTAGTTGTAACATTAGACTTTAAATGATAAACATTTATTTTAACTGTAAAATAAAGACTGTAAAAATACTGTAGGCTGTTTAGTTTTTATCATTTTTAAACTAAAAGTTTAAATATACAGTATATTACAT